TAATTAAAAAAAAAAAAAAAAAAAAAAAAAAAAAACAATGGTGCTGTTCACACAAAAATGAACCCTCTTGGTAGTTTAAGTTTCTTATAAAGAAAAATAGCTCCATTCCCCAAATTCAGATCTTATCCATGTATTTTATCTGTACTATCGGTATTATTTACTTTACATGTAAAAACAACCTGAATTCGAAAGGGAACAGATGGTTTCGATGGCGATTCTGCTGAAGGATTTCAACGCTAATAGACTTACATTGGCAAAATCATTAACCTCGTCATAAGAAATTTCGTAGTCTGCAACATCTACAATGTCATCACCTAGGTACATTGGTAGAAAGTTTTGTTTGGTGAGGTTTATAAGTTTGGACAGTGTAGAAACTTCCAGAGTAAGATCGGTAGGGTTTCGGTTTCGTTCAGGAGAGCTTATCGTAATCTCCAAAAGACGTTCGGTCAAATTGTATACTGATTCATAGCCTTCTTCCACTAATCGCATCTGGTTACGAAAAAAAAAGTATTAATGATATAGGACAAGATCGAGATCACTAGCAGAGACACAGGTAAAGTCTGTCAATCAAAGATCTTATAAACACAAGATAGCGTTCTCCGCGATTTCCGCGTGAAAATTCTAAAATAACGAAGTACGGCGCCCTCCTGCAAAAGTGAAAACTTTAGAACTTTGACACCGCGCGACATTACGTTTACGAGTAACAATTAGAAGCGTCCGATTTACAATGTGCCCTCTCTTTAGAACAATTAAGGAACAATTAACGTACTTGGTAACAAACTTTGGCGTAACGCAAACACCCTACCTCAGATCTAATGGCAACGACTAGAACGCCCTCTCCCAAAAGTGATTACTTTTCTGTGCTAAATCGACGTTTCTATTTGTTGCTCGTAAATCGCGGAGAACGCCATCTTGTGCTGATAAGATATTTGCTATCAATTTAGACACCGACACTGATAAGTTAAACTACTGCTGTAGGCCTATACTGTATACAGAATGCTTTTAGTTAGATTTTCTTGGGTGGTGGGGTTGTGTACTTCGTAGTTCGCGATCAAGCGCTCCCTTATCACAACAATTATTTATTCAATGTGGTAAATTATAGATCACATCGAATGAGGAATTAAAAGGGAACTTATTGACGTGTAAAAAAATTCTCCTGGAAATTTGTAATCCATTAAAATATATTAGTGCTTCACTTTCCCCGTGGTGACTTGTGATTGTGTGGTTGCTTTTAGGACAAGGTTTGTTTAATTCCGATATATATGACAAAGACTTGTGTTTTTGACAGGTTCGAAGTACTCGACTTGGCTACAGCATTACCGAGCTTGATAAGTAGAATGAAAGATAGACCTAGAGGTGGTTGTCATATGCCTGCTGATAAAATAATGTTGACAAAGAAACTGTCCATTTTTAGCTTACAATTAGAAGATGGCCTAGGACAGACCATTGCAAAATCATCAACAATTCTGACTGAATTATAGGGGTAGGTATAACTGAAACCAATCTAGCACGTCATTCAGGAAAGAACGATTTCGGAAGGAGTCACGTGACAGGTTCAATTATGTGTATATCTATATAAGTATTCCTAAATAAAGGTAATCAATTATACTCCCAAGTGTGTGAGTGTGTGTGTGTGTGTGTGTGTTTATACGGAATATTAATCTTAGTGATATAATACGAATTTCAGATGATAGAAGATAAACCTTCTCGCTGAAAGCATTTTACCCTCAAGAAATCCTAACATAACTAATGAGAGCCATTAAATTGAAAACCTGCACAGTCCTCATAGAATACAACAGTCGTGTCGTCACAACACTAGGTGGCGCCCTTTGTTGTCAACCAGCCGTTGGTTACTGTTCATTACGCCTGAATGACTTCATAATCTTAATTGTTTAGAATAGGCTTTCTGGAATAGGCATTTTAAAACCTAATAATTTACCATCAAAATGTACTAAAAACACAAAAGCTCGCATGAACAAACGTTTAATCATCAATTTTCGGACAACACGTGTGTTTGTGGGACAAGCGCGTATTCTTAGTCCTGTTCTTATTGATCAATTGTTAAATTTGATTGACACTTCGAAAATGTCAATTACTTACCAGCTCCTTATGTTTACTTGAAACGCAAGCTGACATGTCAGGTTGAGACCAGTGTCCTAATTTATCAATCGATGTGCAATTTCGATAAGCTTGACCTATCCGTCCAATAAAACAATAAACATAAATATTGGGTTAAGTGTACATTATACTCTGCAATATGATCAAGCGAAGATATTCCCAAATTTATATCATAGATTACTAGTATTTGTAAGCTGATCGTTAGTTATATAATAATAACAATAATAATAATAATAATCATAATAATAATAATTATTATTATTATTACTATTATTATTATTATTATTATTTGTTACTGTTATTATTATTATTAACATTCTAATAATAATAATAATAGCGTAAATTATGAGTGTAATGTAATGATAGTATAGCCAAACCATAAAATCACACTGCTACCAATTTGCAGGCTCGAAGACTGACTAACATTGTACTAAGAAATTGGGATCAGTTGTCTGATAAAGTGGATGAAACGAAGACAAATTGGAAGCTCAACATCCCTAGTGTACCGACAATGAGTAGAGCTTGAGGCAAAACTAAACTTCAACGCATAGTCGACCGGCTCAATCTATTAGCGATATTAAAAACGACTACAGTGTGTTGGAAAAACAATATAAAAAAGAAGGAATTTGTCGTAAAATGACATACAGTGGCTTAGATTAGATCAAGGTCGAGGGACGGAGCATTCAGCTGCATTACGCGTGATTAAAGGCGCGATGATCGATGAAAACAATTAACATTAGGCCTAGCATGTCAGTTTCATATATTGGAAAGAGTGGGAAATCATCAGGTTGTATGTCGAATCACGTGGTACAATCTTCGGTCATATTTTCTAATTTTGAAGTGCTGCGCATTTGTTTTATTTACATTTTTCATAAGCTAATTCGTAGTTTGAACTGCGCATGCCCATATCCAAGGTCAACTGACATAAACCTATGTTGTGTGTATAATTGTCGATTGATCTTGATACGGGCATACATAGTTAAAACAACGAACTTACATTTCGAATTAAGACGATTTAGGAATAAACTGATCTTTTCTACACTATTATTATTGTAGATAGTCATTCAAAAATACATTCGTAATTAATATATATATATATATATATATATATATATATATATATATATATATATATATCAACTTAAATTCACAAATAAAAAAAAAATTGATTTTTCCACATTCGCCACTACGTTATATAGGGGACGATATATATATATATATATATATATGAAAACCTCGAGCTGTCATTTAATGAAGCTGAATAGACCTAACTAGTATAAAAAGGAAACTTGAAATGTGAACAGCCTGACTCATAAGGTTAATGTGTCTTAACAATCTTACCACGGGCCCCGATGGAATGAATTTCAAACTTAAGTAGGCCTACTAATAAATAGGCCTAGTAATAACAAAATAAGTGATAATGACAATGTAAACAACAAAAACGACGACGACAACGATGAATAATAAACATCATGAAGATGATAATAAAAAATTATAAAAATAATTATAATCTCTTGAAACTCTGAAAATGACGCTTAAAAAATATCATAATAAAATGTGTAATACAACACCGAACCTATCTTAATATAAGTAATCAACAAACAAAATGAATATTACTGAAATCTGCTCGACGATTTATCGAAGTGTTTGAACTTACGAGGAGGTTTTGAATGTTCCAATCCTGGACATGTATAAGTCACCTGCTTTCCAGCACGTGCCCTCTCCCATAATACATTATGCGAAACATCACGCACACATTTAGTCCCTGCGAGAGTAAAAGGCAAACACGGTTGTTTTAGATATTAAAAAGAAGTACAGTAAATGTGACCTCAAATTAAACATGCACTCTGGAGTGTCGTGCGAGAATGCCCTGAGGAGAAATACTATCATCTAAAGAATCCCATAATAAAATATAGAATACTTTAAAACATTTCATTTCATTCGTTGATGTTAATTGTGCATTTTAGTTTATGTCCCTATTACATATATGTGCATGACTGTTTTCATTGTATTTGTGCATGTTGACGTTGGTTATCTTTAACGTTCAATTTCAATCTATCTGTAAAACTGTTAACTAGGTTAATTTTCAACACATTCTTCTTGTATATTGGGTGAACTTCCGTATCGATTGAATCAATTAGAATAATTCTGAACACATATTTAGGGTACATTGCAAAATGTCGACCTGTTTACTCCACGAGCTGATATTATAATTGATTCTGATCTCGCATTTATCCTGCTATGCCTGTCAGAAATGTAAACATACTATACTAAGCTCTAGCTTACTTGACGCGTAGCCACATTCGTATCATACGCGCTCGCTTCTCTTTATATTATGTAGTTTATGCAGGCTCAGTTCGTGAGAGACCATATTCTTATGAAGTGATCAGAACCTTTACATGAAGTAGGCCTATCATAACTAATTTAGCTTGATGAGATTAAATGAAATGGTCGCTTGATGCAACTGCTACTTATAGTTCATTAATTACATTTCATGATGGGTAACCTAGTATTTTATAATATTTCTTTAATGGCCATGATGCCAGTTACTTAGACTGCATTTGACTTGAGCTCTAAATCCATTTCTAAGCCAAGAGTAATGAATATATTGTTTTATGTACAGAGGAATAAGAATAACCTTACAGTATATCGGTCTATATATATTTTTTAACGAATGTTAAAAACACAAAATGATTAAGTGAAAACTCTCAGAGGAGAGTTTATTATCTTTATCGTTAATGGAAATTTCAAGTAATTATTGTTCCTGAAACGGCAAAAAAAAAAAAGAAAAAAATAATCAGGATAATATTCAAAATGTGACCTTATTGTGTAGATTCAAAAGATGAATCATATTTTTCTCACCATTGTTGTCACTGCAGTATCCATCGCACATTTCAGCAACATCCCGTTCACACGATGCTATAAACAAAGCAAACATTTCACACGTCTGTGTCTATTTAATCATTATTGACGTCTTTAGTAGCAATTATTATATAACCATATGATCGATGAAACATTATTTGTACATTCCACCTGTCCACCGAAGTGATAAAGAAGTTATCATTCCTCTTTTTCAGAAACCATCAAACTAACATTACACCTTGTGACCAAAGGCCAGGTTGTATTTAATCTTAGTAAAATCCCTCCCACGCAAAACCAATAAAATAAGGATGAAAAGAACATAAAGTAAAATTAGATTAAAAAAATATAAATGCAAGCTTGGTGGAGCTAGAAGACAGGTAAGAAGAGGTCAAATATTGAGCAGATGGATGTAATAAAGTTTGGGGCTATTATAAAATTTTATTTCAGGAGTAGGCACGAAAAAAGACATTTCCTTTGCAAATAAAAATTACTTAAATAAAATTATTCGGTTCAAATATACTCATTAGCGTTATATCATTCAAAAACTTAATAATTTATAAGCATTTATATAATGCGTAACGACGATTTTAAATTTGTGTTAGTTCCAACTTTTTACTTTGCCTGAGTTTCTGTTATTTGAAATGAAGAAAGTCAATAAGTAAATTAGAGGTTTTAAAAGAGGAGTGAGATGCCTATGGGTCATTTACATAGAACATGAACACAGTGGCTCTAAGAAATCTCCAACAAAGAGAAAAATCAAGTGTCGAAGTATTAGTATTTTTTCATGACGCATGCATCGAGGGATCAGTTACGGTCTCATTTCAAGCGATTTCCAATATTAAAGGTAATTAAGTACTAAGATAGGATTTACCGGTACTTCATACTCAGTGGCAACATCAAGAAAATATTGTTAATGACCACAAAAGTTCAGGTGATTAAAATATGATTTACATTTATTTTCTTCAAAATATAATGATCCCTAGGGTTTGTAGATATTTGAGTATCTTTGATGACAATGGAGACTATACAAAGGCACGTATTAAATTATAACTAGAGAAGTAGGTTCATAAATATTAATAATTAAATATAGTAATAAATAATAATAGTAATAATTATGTTTGATTAGGGCTAGCGAGTCATCCGTTCCTTTCCACTTCCCTCCAACTATTTATTTTTTTTTTCATATTTTTTATATTTATTAAGTTTACCAAATTGTATGTTGCCTCATTTGTGATTATGGCCAAAAATTGTATCATCTTATCTAAATGTCACGTAAAGTCTCACTAAATGCCTAGTTTTTAGAATGTTATCTTTCCACGTAAGTATCTGAGAATATGAAGCCAATTTTCATGACTTTTCCAGATGCATTTATCTACCATAAATATATTAAAGCATACGATCTCGCCACATATTCATCATTTATCTCTAATCTCATGAGTAAAAAATCCTATATAAAATTTAAAGGAGCTCAACAACGAAAAAAGCTATACTAAATGTTATTTCAAGATTAATGTAATAGCTACCTGGAGTTGGGATACCTGAGGGCCAGCGTAGTTTCATATGCCCTCGTGTCCCACCTCTGAAATCCACCCACTCAACAAGATTTCCACAATATTTAAAATAACAGTTGTTGTGAATCTGTACAATTTCACTTTTAGTTAATGTCTCATTCCAGATGTTCACGTGACTAAGGCTACCAGCAAATGACTGATTAGATGTGAAATATTTTGATTGGCCAAGAATCCAATCGCCATTCCCTTGGATCAAGCTTGATCGACTCATATTTCTTCCATGACCTTTTAATATTGAATCTTGGTAAACCTTCCATTCTCCACCTGAAATGAAATAGATACACTGTTGTAAAATAATTTAAAATCACGTATTAAGAATCAAGTGTATTACTTACAAAACAAAGTGGGGCGTAAGTGCTTTAGAGTTTTGGTTTGGTGTTAGGGCGATCGGCTTTCTACCTCATTGTTTAGGGTTCAAATCTTATAACACACCTGAACGCAACTCCAGTCATAGTTGTCCAATTGCTGTCCAGACTATACAATTTTATTTGACAAAAACATGTGACATGCCTAAATATGGTCGTGACATATCGAAGTAAATATCATTGAAATAGTATAGTAGAATGTAGATAAAATGAGAATAGCAGGTTTTTGGCCTATGTTCGTTTGTTTTTTTTTTAAGCTTAATCTCAGTAACAAGAACAAAAAGTAGAAACTAATTAATGAAGAAAATCAATATCACCTACATGTAGAGTTCTGAAAATTCTTTGCAAACTCTGTTGAACATTGTTTAGTGGAAAAAGTTGTTGGGATTGTAAGGTAAGATAGCAATGAATCCTTTTATGATTTTTGGTGGAAACAAATTATAGTATGAACGTAAATAGGAAGAATATTGTGTCAAATGCTGCGTTTTGGTTTCAAGGTAAAGAAGCAAAGTTCAGGATTTTCTAAAAAAAATATTCGATCCTCAGGCACCAATGGTTCCACCAGATAATAACTTTTCAATTAACACCATTGATGATATGCATTGTATAATATAAATGTGTGTGGAGATGATTAGAAAACTTACTAATATTATAAGTAATCGATAAATATCCCCACTTCTTTGGTACAAGATCAAGTGGAAAATCTACAGAGTTGCTTCCGACCCTTAAATTTCCATATCTACCAACTCCCACGGTGATGTCATGACCTGCTCCATTTGTACCGTTGTAAGATAATACAGTACTATTACCGTAGTCCTCAACTTTTAGCCACATAGTGATAGTAAAAGCTTGTAAGGCGGAAAAAGCCTTGCCGAGAAGAACAGTAAAAGTACGATTGTCCTTCCCGTCAAATTCAAGGCGGGAATTCGCCGACAATGCTAACAGGAAAGAAAAACATATCAACATTTTGGTTCAATTAACGATTTGGTACAATTTCTATATGGATTATCTTTTGCTATTTTTAAACAATATCCTTTTTTAATGATAGGCCTAATGTTTAAAATAAACTTCGGATAGCATAACTGGTTAGTGACACTTTGAGCTGGATGTATAATGCAAATTTTATTAACCTCCTGTGGGAGAACAGACACACAAATACAATTACAATATAGATAAAATATAAACTCAAATTAAATGGCTTAATCATTTCAATTATATTTTTCGAATCAGTAAATCAAAATAATAAGGGATTCATTATATACAGTACTTTCGTACTAATGTGTTTGATTATACACTATTTAAAATAGGTTATAATAAAAGATGTTACGAATCAGATGAATCAATTTCTATATTTTTTCAATGTATTCAGTTATAACTTACCGGCGCAGACCTCACCATTCCATACAAAACCTGGCCCACATTTACAGAAGTACATCTCTGGTGTATTGTGACACTTAGGTAACTTATAAAATCCTTTATGACATTGAGAACTAATAATATCTGAAAAATATAATCATAAATGTGACCACAAAGACTATATGGTTGAACAGATTGTATGTATGCTCACTGGAACTAGAAGTAGTACCTATCTGTAGTCATCTTGGTGTGCATGAAGTTAATAATAAATTATTATGACAAATGACCATTTCATTATAAAGTAAGTACCGGTAATTTATGAGATGTTATTTTTTGATATTGAAAGTGTCTGCTCCATCACGTTTAAAAACTAGCTGAAATGTGATTGATTCACATTTTCATGTCATGACAATTGCCTTCTATGTTGTTTGTTGTCTTATTCTTTCAGAGTCTGTTGTAAACCAGAGTTAAACGGATCCTACGCTCAGAATGTGGTGATTATATAAATGGAGCCAATGTTGTCAGTGTTACAGAGAGAACCGTATAGGTATTTTAGTAGCCGATGAAGTGGAAAGACATTCTAGTTAATGGCAATGTTAACAAAACGATACAGGCATCCACAATAAATCATGACGAATAATATTTTACCATGGCAACCAACATTCCCTTTCCATGGTGTCGTGCAGAATTGATGCTATTGGATTATTGTGGATTTCAGTTCAAAAACATATGACGCTTGTTAAGATAGATAAAGCTTTGGAACGAACGATCTATTTGTGGAATCGGATGTGCTCAATCACATAGACCTAGCAGATATTGCTAAAAGATATAATTCATCCACATTCATCATTACTTGGCCTAATGTTTGATTTGATAAAATTGATTATGCAAAACATAATGTCAACTCTCTTGAAAGTGTGTAGGCCTACACGCAACTAAACAAACACGTCGTAAAGTTCAATAGCATGATGTGTTAAGATGCTTGCCTTCCATTCCAAGTGTTCTCTGGGTTCAATTCCTGTCAAGGAAACAGGATTTCTTTCTCATAACTAAAGCAACTCCATTTTCTAAGTTTCATTATGAAATCTATGTATAGAATATTGTGTGTATGTATGTCTTGTGAGAGGTTTGCCACTTATAAAAGTGAGCTTTATTGTTGGGAATATTCTTGGCCCTTGTACTGAAAGTTAGAAAAAGAAAAAAGAAAGAATTTCTTGTAGCTTGCAGATACTACACGATAATGTTCTGGTTCAAACGGTAGCATAATGTTGCATAATAATAATAATAATAATAATTTAAGCTTATATAGCGCATTATGCTAAAGCCTCAATGCGCTTAACAGTAAAAATAAAATTCGGGGGAAAAAAAATTAAGAAAAATACAAGTTAAAAAGGTGAATTTTTAAAGCTGCCTTAAAATCATCAATGGAAGTTGTCTGTCGGATTGTAATAGGCAGAGCATTCCAAAGAAAGACAGAAGCCCAAGAGAAAGAACGACTACCATAATGCTTTGTCGACGGGCGAGTGGAATGAGCAAGTAGAGACTCTGAACTAGAATAACTAGGTCGAAGTGAACTACAGACCTTATGATAGCCCGACGGACGTGCACCGTGTCTTCATCTCTCGTCAGATATAAAGTAGGGAATTTAAATTTAATCAGAGATATCATCCACTTAAGAAAATAATATCAGAAAGAATTGTTATAACTACCATTTGTATAAATACCAATTCTAGAGACTATCTTTAATTGAAATTAATTAATATAGTTTGTTGGATGAATTAACACATACTCCTGAAGCATCTATAACGGATAGTACTCTTTTGTGGACTGATTTCTAATTATAATTTATCTATTCCTACAACTACTCACGTATAAATATATCTTCGCACATGTTCCATTAACTAAACCGAAAGGATTAGAGTAACAATCCTAAAAAAAGTATTTCACTCATTTAGTGATCACAGGAGCTGACGTCATGATCACGTGGGTCTAGCAGTGTATTCCAATTAAGTGCGTAAGTGTAACCGTGTCGCCATGCTGCATTGTAGCTAATCAGAAATAGACATCTTATAATATTTTAATTTTCAAAAGGCAAAGAAGGTATATCATAAATTTGACATTGGTTCATATTATTTGATCTGAATGCGGGCTTGAAAATAATTACGACTAGATCTTATGGGAAACCCACCGTAATTAAAAAAAACTTCATTCATGGATGATTAGTAGTTTAACCGAGAATGGGGTGTAATATTACATAACAGCACTCCGATCCTCAATGCAACGTGGTAACACAATTTGGTGATAGATAATATTTAACCAAATCAATGGTACGGTACAATACGGATATTTGAAGGTGGCCTGGCAGGAAAATGACGAAAAAATAATAAATTCGTAAAATTTATAACCGAGCGGACAAGGACCCCTTTGTCGACATCTAGTAACCCATTGAAAAATGAGTAAATCCCAGTCAGGCCCTTTAATTAATGGCATATATAAAGACGCTGCCGAAGAGACTGACTTTAATCGAATGTTGCTTGGTTTAAAACAGACAGATAGTGATAGTCTTTGATAAATTAGTTAAAACACTTCTTACCTGACTGGACGTGCGACCACAATCCACACGATATTAAAAACACGTAAAAAATTATTGCCATTATGTTAACTATTGCTCATGGTGTTTCCAACGGCACCAACAACCCTGAAAAGTGACAAAGAGAAATTAACATGTAAATAAATGTTGAATTAAATGTTAGATTAAAAATCTATGGTACCTGTTTCATGCATACGTGCTGTCATGCACACTGGACCAATTTGCTTAACCGCCTGTCTAAAAGGATGCGGTAATGGACCTTGCCGCTAAGCAACGCATGTGTTTGTAGGGCACGGGCGTATCCCTGGCCTGTTCTGATTGGTCAATTATTAAGTTTGATTGACAATCCTGAATGATTCTTTAGAAAAAATATTTTACACAAGGATACGACGCTCGCCAAAATTAGAGAGAAATCCGGATTAGATTAGATTAAGTCGTTTGTTATCAAATTAAAGGAACATTATATTTTGCTTTTTATAGTTTATTCAAGAATGGAAAAGCTTTACATTATTTTTTGTACAAAAAAGTAATGTACAATTTTTCAATTCTTGAATAAACTATAAAAAGATGAGATTTTGTTTGTTATTTTAGGAAGAAAAATGTTTAACGATACTCAGGGAACAGTAAAATTAGGGCATTTGTGTAATTTCACTGTTCCCTGCGATACTTCTGTTTTCTTCTTAAATTTGAGATGAGTAGCTTTCATGCTTGTGACCTCTGGTCTTAATGAGAGTTTCCCAGGTCCTACAATATCAATTTCTTTCTTTTATACTTATTTGTAACGTTATAATTTTATGTAGGATTAAATAAATTGATTTGTAATTGTAATTGACCGTGATACAGATTCCCATAAACCAGGGAACAGTTCACTCTTCCCTGCATAAACCAATTGGTTTATTTGACTTTGCGGACCTGGTTTTAAACATCTTCATCCATTTTTTTGTTGTATTTGACTGTTTATTGTAAATTTAATTCTCATCTCAAACTCTATTGCTTTTTGAAATTATTATTCATATTGGTTGTTTTTCTTTGCTGACCTATTATTAAGCACAGATATTAGGTCATAATCTTCGTAATTTTACAAGTACAGTAATATAGTTCCCTCAAAATATATCTAATCCATCAAAAGGAAAAATTCTAAAATTTCTATAGGGATAGGAATAAAGATTCTAGTTTCTAAGCGCTCGACGTTCGAAGAAGTTCGTCCTCCACTTTGGTTTGGTTTTAATAACAAAATTTAATACAATAATATGTGGAATTTGTATTTTTATTTTATTTTTATTTTCAATCTCTCGACAAAAACAAAAAAGTTGGACAGGGGTGCCGAGGAAAAGCAAAAGCTAGAAAAACTGTCATCAAAAGATGTGCTTAACCAAACCCCTGCCAACAAAACAATACAAAAGTTTAAACATTAAAATGAACGAAAGTAAAAAATAAATAAAAAAACATATTAACATTTTTAAAACATACAATAAAAAAAATAAATATAAATAAATAAATAAATATAAAAAAAATGTTTAAATACAATTATAACTTCCATAAACAGTATTAAGTCATCTACAGAATTTTAAAATGCAACCGTCACAAGAAATGGATAAAATCAATCAAGTACATTTCGTCAAGCAGAATATAGCAAATTTAAGAATCAGTAAAATGATCCTTTAAAATATTGTATACAAAAACATTGTATACAATGTATATGACGTTGTCTGTCACACTGATCTTCTCATTACATTACAAATTGGAGAATGAGAAAAATAGAAAAAATTTCCTGAATTCTTGAAATCATATATGTGCCTTAAGACTTGTTTTGACAAATCAGTGCAAATGAATTTCTCGATATATTGTTCATATGTATATGTGAGATCATGTACAACAAATTCAGGGAAGACAGTGTTTCAGAAATGTTGTGTAATTCACTTAAATATAAAAGCGTTTGAAGTAGTACTTATACTCACTGACGATTTATGATCCTACATTATATAAACGTTTGTTATTACTATACGTCCATATTTGACTAGTACACTTGCATTATTCGAGTGTACGTGTAGAGCGTTGTGCCGTTTAAGTTTGGTTCATACTGGCATCCATGCATCAGACACGCCGCAAGCGGCTCGTCACAAACGCAAGGCATTCTACTTCACTGTTATCTCATTATTATTTTTTCATTCACTAAAAAGGTTTACCTGCTTTGATTATGCTTCACTTTCCAGCTCGCTAGTCGAGAGCAAGCAAGAAATTTGCGGTTCCCACTGTAAAGCGACTGTTCAATTGACTATCATAAGCGTTGCATGCGTTTGCGTAACGCGTCCAAATTGAAAGTAGTACTGGTAGATGCAGTGGCGGCGCCAGCGGGGGGGCAGTGGCATTGGCATGAAAGGACAACGTTAATAGGAACAGTGATTGAATGTCAAATTAGTAAACTGCAAAACATATATCTCATAACGTCTCTACACACGTTGTAGTGTCGTAAGAGCGTGTGTACACGTACACCCACACACTAGAACACACACTAGACATTTACACGTCATGCTTTATGAATTTCGATGCGGTTTAATGCTAAATGTATTTGGCGACAAGGATTAACAAATCAAGCGGCCATTTAATGCACAAGTGATAAAAACAGTAAATAGCCCAAGGATATTTGTGTATTCGAATGTAAAATATTGAACACTAGTCTGCTGACTTATGGAAGTCTCAGAAAATAGACTGGTGTGATTGACTGAGAGGATTATAATTGAAATAAAGTCATCAAAATGATTGCCTACTGTTGCTTTCATGAAAAAATAAGATGAAACAATCTTAATCTTACTAAGATCGTCGCTGTCCAACATTTACTTCATGTTATGTTATGTCACATCTGATATGAAAGACTACCGATTTGAAGGAAAACTTGATCAGTAAACATACGCATAGGCCTAAGCAATCATTGACCTCAGCAGTGCAGCAACATTATTATTGTTTAATCATTGTTTTCTCTCTGATTCAAAGTGTACGGCAGTAGACTTAGGCTATGTTCAAACACTAGCGTAACGATAATCGAGTGGTGTGAACTTAAAGTATTTAAACGCACAATCACTGGCGTACGATAATCCACCAACAGACCGCAGATTAGCGTACGCCACTGAGTTTCAACAGTCATGCATCAATAATTTTGAAACTCGGCCAGGATTTGACCAATCACAATAATAGATGTTTAGAGGAAATAAAATGCGCGATTACGAATACGAATATTTCGTGCGAATAGCGTTAGCTAATCGCCCAATCTTCAATTGACATCTCGCTATTTACGCTTTGGATTAACGATGTACGCCCAGGTCTGGACGTAGCCTTGGGCCATGTTCTCACACGGCATCTAATGGTTAGCAGGATCCGGATCCTGCTAACCGTTAGCTGCCGTGCGTCCATGCGAGAAAAGCCCAATCTGGATACGATATGATGATCGAATCACTGGCCAATAAGAAACTGGAAATTGTAAACGCGTATGTGTGATTGGTTGATGATTGAAACGCCCTCAACTTGCTAACCGATAGCGCTTGCTAACCGTTAGCGTACAGAATACCGCTAACGGTTAGCGCTAACCGATCGGGCGTTCTCATGCAGGTGCTAACGGTTAGCGCTAACGGTTAGCTCCCGATCCGGATACTAGGGCTCTCGTGAGAACCAGGCAAAAGCGATTCCATGGAGAACGTACGCCACGACGCGCGCGTAACTGATCGTTTTTAATTTACGATGCGTTCAGACTGCACAAAAGATAATAAATAGCAGAAGTTAGAGCAGCTTCCTAATATATTGGAACATCCGGTCGAAATGCATTGTGGGTACACGGAGAGTAATTTTATCCCGTCCGCGAAGCGGCGCTATATATCAATAATAAAGGCGCCGCTCTGGTTTGTTTGTTTCCTGTAGTTTCTCCAATAGTCAAATACTGTAAAACCAGAAACTTTGTAAAACCAGAAACTTTCGCGGAACGAAACTTTCGCAAATTGATAATTTCGGCCGTTTTCGCGACATTAAACTTTCGCGTATCGCAAAAGGCCTAAATTTTATTCAAAGAGGAATACCATACAATAGCTGAAAATATCGTATTTTGAGTTCTAGGCCTACAGCCACTGTCTAGGCTACAATAGCTAGGCCTAGGCTAGGCGCCATAAGCCTGCAGCCTACCTCAGCTGATAGGACCAGGACTTAGCTGGCCATCCCAGGCACAGTTAAGAAAGACACAAGTTTACATACATTACAATATACTCACTCATACGATATTCCTAAATTTTGTATGGTATTCAAGCATCCTACAATGAACAATATTTATTCCTGTAGGCCTAATATTGATTCATGATGACTGAACATTGTGGTATGTCAAGGTACGAAAATTAGTTTCTATTTTAACTTCTTAGTATACACTGCGCAGTGGTTGCACATGTGCAATCACATGCAGTGATGATCAGAACCTCCCTAATCAGTATACTTACTGAGTAGGTTAGAATAGGCCTAGAATTTACGAATTTTTTGAGCTCAACATCGGAATTTAAGGTCAGAATATTTATTCAATAATTAAAATACATTCTATTAAGTTTATATACATTTAATAAAATTCACAAAATAATTTAAAATACAATTTTTAAAATGTTGAAACTGTTAACTTTTCACGAACATGTTTGCAATTTGTGGGGATTCCCCATTTAGGCCTAGGCCCTAGATCTGTATTGCATTGTCGTCGGCGAGTTTAGGCCTTGGCAATTCTTGCTGTTTATTGTTCATTATCATCTTTAAAAAAGTTGAAATTAATTTTTGGTGTAATTTAGTGATTCATAATGACCAAAATCTCCTTTGTGAAACTGATTCGAGATTCACGATGATCAGATAGTATTCTACCGATCTTTTTTGAAACATAGAACATGTGACCTGAAAATTATTCGCGGCATAAAATTTTCGCGAATCTGGACCATTCGCGAAATTCGCGAAAGTTTAATGCGCGCGAAATTTTCTGGTTTAACAGTAGTCAAATTTTACTACTTGCTGTTCAGCCTACTTGCTGTTCGTATGTATTTGAAAATGTGTTGGTGAACAAATTTCATCTATTCGTCTTTGGAACACGACATCGAACA